TCCTTTTCTACTGCATGCTGAACATGAAATGAATTGCTCCACAGCTGCTGCCCGGCATCTTGCATCCAGGTAGGCCTCTTTGTCTTGGACTCAAGTAGATCACCCAAAAGATGGCTGATTGCAGTGTATGACTTTGTTGCAGTGGTGTTGATGTATACACTGCTATTGCTGGAGCTGTTGGTGCCCTTTATGGGCCGCTTCATGGTGGAGCAAATGAGGTACGCACAATAGTTACACGCCCAATCTCATAATCTTAGGCTGCATCTGGCATCTTGGGTCTAGTACACTAAGATAGGATAGTTGGGGGGTTTAGTACACTAAGATAGGATAGTTGGGGGATTTAGTACGCTAAGATAGGATAGTTGGGTAACCTAGGATATGATAATTACTATGGATAAGATTCTTACCTAATATATGTATGTTTCAGATGATTTGGACACGGAGATTAGTAGAGTAAGGCTAAAGACCATATTGCTCTTTTTCTTAATTCATAATTATAATAGCAGTAGCATCACAATATTTCTTTTAAAGGGATAGAGGTGGAAGACAAAATTGAAAAGGACATTTAGATTTTCTTGACCGCTGCTTAGGTAGGTAAGTGCTTCTCCACCTCCCATTGAGCACTGCTTAGTTAGGTAAGTGCTTCTCCACCTCCCATTGGTTCAAGGATGGGTCGGGTCTTACTATATTCATTAATGAATGTATCACCAAACATTGGGTAGACTATGAAGTAGTGTTATTAAAATATTTGAGATAAGTGTTGCTAAAGTTGATGATAATGAAGTGAATTTCCGATAAGCAAATGTGAGCTGTTATTTTTTCTCCTACTTTTACTTTGATTTATTCTCAGATTTTGTGTTTTATATTGATTGTTACAGGCAGTTTTGAAGATGTTAAATGAGATTGGAACCGTTGACAACATTCCAGAATTTATTGATGGTGTGAAAAACAGGTGATTCTTCACATGTGAATTAAGGATAAAGTGCAAGTAGCACCAGCTAGTTTAGTATATCCTGTAATTACCTCTTTTTTAAAAAAATATATACGCTCTCCCATATATTGTTAAGAAAATCTATTATTTTGATATTCTCAGTTTTCTTTTGTTGAACTTACTTTATTGCTTATTCAACTTTTTGTTAAACTTGAATTAAGGATAACAGTTTATATTAATAAAGAAAAGGGAAATATCCGAAACTGGGGTGCTTTTATTTCCAGCATTTGCAAATTTGAAACTGGGGTGCTTTTATTTCCAGCATTTACAAATTTCACCATCTATTTCTTACTATTTCTTGCTATTCATTGTTTTTTTTCTTCATTTTCTTCTTATTTATGTGGAGGATGCCTTATTCTCCTTGATTGTATTCTTCAATCGTCTTTCTTTCTCTAACAAAACTTCTTATTTTATCCCAAAAAGGGAGGGAAATCTAGGTTGGAATACAACTGTTATTAACACAATTTACCCAAGTTATAGTTGTCAGTTACCTTCTGTCGGGATGACCTCCTTTTGAATTGTATGTCTTATTGGAAATGTTTCAATGACATTCTTATCCATTTTGGTTAATCCAGGAAGCGGAAAATGTCAGGCTTTGGGCACCGTGTCTATAAAAACTATGACCCCAGGGCAAAGGTCATAAAGAAACTGGCGGAGGAAGTATTTTCTATTGTTGGCCAAGATCCTCTTATTGAGGTGTTGTTCTACTGTCCAATCACATTCCTTATATAGAGACAATATTGTTCCACTTCTCTATTTTCTTGCACGATATTTCAAGTATGCTTTTATTGGACTCAAGTGAATCAAATCCTTACACATTTCTTAATTTCTGGTTGAGTTCTTGATATTGCTTTATTTGTATTTTCTCAACTATAATTGGAAGCTGAAACAATAGACGATCTTCATGCATTGTCTTCTGCTCTTTGTAGGTAGCTGTTGCTTTGGAGCAGGCTGCACTATCTGATGAGTACTTTATTAAGAGGAAGCTTTATCCAAATGTTGATTTCTATTCTGGGTTAATATATAGGTAAGGATAAAATATCTCTAGTTTGAAAATTTGGTTTAGTAAATACACCTGAGTGACATGTTATATTTCCTCTTCTGAGCCTAAAATTGGTGATACATTTCTTGTATAGGGCGATGGGATTTCCACCAGAGTTCTTCACTGTTTTATTTGCAATCCCTAGAATGGCTGGCTACTTGGCACACTGGCGAGAGTCTCTAGATGATCCTGATACAAAGATAATGAGACCACAACAGGTTAGGGCTTATCCTAATACAAACATAATGATAGTGTGATTTGCTCTTTATTTTGCTACATGGAGTGTACTTTTCCCCCTTTTATCTAAAATGGCAACCGTACTGTGATCTTTTAGATATAAATGAGACCAAGTTGAAAGTTTGTAGGAAATGTTTTGCCCTCTTGTTATAGATCCTAGCTCGGATGATTCACGGAAAACCCTTCCCCTCCCGAAGAAAGGAGAGAAGGAAAAGAGTTCTGAATCATAATACAAACTAAGAATGATCCAAGAAATATTTGAAAAGACTACAACTCTTATGTTTTCATCAGCATGCTCTACTGATTTTAGATGCCTACCTCTATTTTGGGGAGCCCAATTTCTTCAGTTGAAAGAATTCAGTGTTGATATCTGACACAGCTGACTTTGATCCTGATCCTTTATTGACCTCTTTTCTTGTATAATCAAATGATTGCATGCTGATGATTCTTTGTTTGGGATGCGTATTGGAACTGACTCTTCAGGTTTACACGGGGGCATGGTTGCGACACTATATGCCACTCCAAGAGCGGATGCAATTAGCTGATGGAGATAGGCCAAGTCAAGTGTCAGTCTCAAATGCATCCAGGAGGCGGCTGGCCGGATCTGGGGTTTAAACTTTGTACTAAATTTCTGGAGAGGATCAAAGGAAATAAATGTCAGGAAAGAAATAAAGCCATCTGAACAAGTGTCAATTCAACCTTTAGCTTTCACACATGTTTCACAGGTTTACCATCTGCTTCATGCTGCCTGCATGATTTTACTTGACCTTTATTGTTGAATGTGTCTTGAAAGCTGTGTAGATCACAAGTGCGTAGGCAGAACTCTTGCATTAGCTTTCAAGAAAAGAAAGTTCATAAGAAATGTAGAATGCTGTTTGTAAAACTTGGTTTTCATAATTTTATTTTAGATTAATTCTCAAAGTGAAATTGCAATAATATAAGCCTTAAATTTTATTGAAAGTGGTAGAATTTCATATAGGGATCTATAAATCTGTAATTTTATTTATGTCAGTGATTCTTGGCCATAAATAAAAGGTAGATACATGTAATTTATATTATATGGATGTTATTATTATGTTGGGTTTAGTTCTGATATGAATTTTTATTGAATGTGTTGGAATTAAATTATAAAATAAAATTAAATAGTGGTTGGTGTATTGTAGTTTTAACTCATCACATTTAATGTATTTTTAATTTAAATTCAATAATTTACATACCAAACCAGAAGAAAAACAATGATTGCATTTTACTAGTTGGTCAATTAAATTAAAATTATTTATGTATTTTACAATTTTTATTTATACAGATAGAAGATATCATAAATTACTATAAAAATTAAATTAAAAAATATTGTATTAATAAACATTTATAAATAAAACTACAAATGATAATTTTGTAATGTAACTTAATTTAATTTATGTATGACAAATGTATCTTGAAATATATATTTTGGTTATAAAAATATAAAATACAAAAAATTCTAATTTATATACTGCAGAAACATAATAACAAAATGATAATAATTTACTCGGTAATTAAAAAAAAAAAAAAACATTTATACTAACTGGGACAGGTAGTCGGTGTTCATATTATTATTATTATTATTATTATTTTTAATTAATCAAGAGAGAAAAATGGGGGTTCCATAATTCATAATCATCGAAAAGAGAGAAACAACCAGACGAAAGTTCCTGCAACAGGTAGGACCCGCCTATTTAAATCGGCGATCGGAACTCCGGTCGTAGCGCAGAGCTGTCGTGCTTGTTCAGGCAGAAACACCCTTAATTCTCTGCACCCAACTGTTATTCAGTCTTCTTTCTTCTTCTTCTCTGTGGGTGTTTGTGATTCGTTGATAATCACCCGCTAACCATCAGAGGATAGAGAGGTATGTTCTAAAACCACGGGAAGATCTCGATCACGGTTCTTCTTTTTTTATGGCTTAATTTCTCAGTTTTCTCCAACGGGTTTTGTTTTTTTAGCCGCGTGTCTATCTGGGATTTGTGCGATTTGTTGTTATCAACCTCGATTGGATTTGTTTGCTTTTGATCTAATGCTCAGATGTTGGTATCGGTGGGGTTGTTATTGATTTCTTTGTTAATCTAATATAAGCCTCCCCATTGTACGTTTGGTTTTCAGATGTTAATTAGGAAGAACAATTTTCGAAATTCAGATGATTGACAAGTTGTTGCTCAAATTTCGAAAGCTTTTAACAGCACCATCTTGATTTTGGTGTTCATTATCTTCTAAGTCACTTCTGTTAGAATCATTTGTTTGCGTGGTTAAGTCTGTATTAAATCCGTGTCAATTTTCATAAGCTGATTAGTTTTCTTTTTAAAAAATGAGAGTAGGAAGGTAATATTGGTGCTAATGACTTCTGTTAAATCATCAATTACTTGAATATAAATTGGTTTTCTTCAGTAGGGTTTTAGATCAAAATTCAATAAAGGTGTCTTTTTGAGTGGAATTATGCTTTGAATTGTATAGTGATGTTGTTCAAACACACTACGGAAACCTATACACTTGATGGGTTTGGAATAGATTATAGTCTTAGTTTGATGTGACTATTTAAATCTCATACTAGTAACCATTGCAACAGGCAAACTGTTTGTTTTTCATTTTTCTTATCCGCTATCATTTTTTAAAATTGGTGTATGCCAATTCAATTGAGTGTATATGTACCACTTCATGCTTCTTTTTTAAAATGAGGGACCTTGATCTTATTTGAGTAAAGAAATACCGAAGATACTGTCTTTTTCTTGGTGTAGTGAGATAATCTTATTGAAAAGGGAAAAAGAGAGAGATTAGGAAAATAAGCAGTTTGCAAGGGGTGGGAAGAAGCAACAGTGCTGAAAAAAATCATGTGAAGAAAGTACCTGTTTTTGCCACCCACTCCTTGACCAAATTTATTAACTTTTATTATGAATCTAGTAAGATAATACAAGTCTTGAATTTTCTAAAGAATGTAATTTGCAATTTTGATCTGCCAAAAGAACATCTTTTACTTCTTTATGTGTGTTGGCAAGGAAGGTGGGTTACTATACATGAACTAAGTTGGAAGAATACTTCTGTTGGGATTGAATTACGGGTGTAAAATGGAAATTTTGGAGAAGATTAGAAGAATACTTCTTAGGTATTCTGCCTTTAAGACTTATTTGAATATGAAGTAATGGCTCACTAGAGAGCAGAACCTCTCAATATCTAGAGTTTAAGTAACTTTAACATTTGAAGGAAATTCGGGTTGACCTTCATATCATTCCATTATAATCCACAAATATAATTGGAAGGAAAGAACATTTTGGCAATATAAAAGTTATCCTGCTAGATAAGTAAGTAAACTGCATGAAAAACTAAACACAACTGATCATCAACTGCCCATGCTGAATTTTCCTCACCAGCTGGTTGAGGATGCATAAAATGGTTGTGTTGCATTAGCTCCCAATTGATGTCTGTAATATATTTTCTTTTCTTATTGAAAAAAGGCTGACTTGGTAAGGAGTAAGGACTCATCTACTGCACAAGCTGAATTCTACTTACTAGCTGGTTGAGGACTCATAACTGTGCTCTTGTTGGGTCTATTCCTTGATGTCTTTAAGATATTTTATTACTGAATGGGGGAATTCATAGAGAATCTAAAAACTTTGTTCTTATTCTAGCTGCTAATGAGAGAATATCATTTTCTTTGTTTCTTCTTTTTCTAGTCAGAATATGCCAGTTGGTTTTAGCACTTAAGTGTAATAATATGTAGAAAATATTATACCTTTAACGGGGAAAAGCTTAATACACTCTTAATGGTTGTCTACAGTTTCAAGAATTATAAGTCAGAATAAGCTTGGTTATCTGTTTAATTGTTCTGCTTCTCATTGTTATTACAGTCACAAATCATGAATAAGATTCTCTCCTTTCCTTCAAATTGAAGATAAATATTCCAATGTTCTTGTTGATAAATATAAGCTCAGGCCATATCTTCTTTCTTTTAGGAATTTGGAAAGATGTCTGGTCAAACCCAAAGGTTGAATGTCGTTCCAACTGTGACAATGCTTGGAGTTATGAAAGCACGTCTTGTTGGTGCAACAAGAGGTCACGCGCTCCTCAAAAAGAAGAGTGACGCTTTAACTGTGCAGTTCCGGCAAATTCTTAAGAAGATTGTATCTACAAAAGAATCGATGGGAGAGATCATGAAAACATCCTCCTTTGCTCTGACTGAAGCCAAATATGTTGCTGGTGAGAACATCAAGCACATTGTGCTTGAGAATGTTCAAAATGCATCTCTTAAAGTTCGATCTCGTCAAGAGAATGTTGCTGGTGTGAAGCTTCCCAAGTTTGAGTATTTCACTGATGGTGAGACTAAGAATTCCCTCACTGGATTGGCCAGGGGAGGTCAACAAGTTCAGCTCTGTCGTGCTGCTTATGTGAAAGCAATTGAGGTTCTTGTTGAGCTTGCTTCACTTCAAACATCTTTCTTAACGCTTGATGAGGCCATCAAGACTACAAATCGTCGGGTTAATGCTCTAGAAAATGTTGTGAAGCCCAGGTTAGAGAACACAATAAGTTACATCAAAGGAGAGTTAGATGAGCTTGAAAGAGAGGATTTCTTCAGGTTAAAGAAGATACAGGGATATAAGAAGAGGGAGATACAAAAACAACTTGAAGCTGCCAAGAAATTTTCGGAGGAGCAGTTTGCAGAGAAGGTTTCTTTGCAGAGAGGGATCTCACTTAATTCAGCACATAACTTGTTAGCTTCAGCTGCAGAGAAGGATGAGGATATAATCTTCTGATGTTGAGTTGCTCACAGGGTAGGGTACTCCGTGAGATGTGAGTTTTGCTGTGTTGCTTGTGTTCTGGGAAACACTTTTTTATTATTCAGACACAGAACCGGATGTTTTGAATAATGGTGTATGCATGTTTCTATTTAGCTGCTTTGAAATATTTGTAATTGTTGCCTAGACTTGTTTTTGGTTTACAACTGATATTCTCTGAGTCGTTTTTCTCCCCTTGACTTCCCCATTTTTGTGTATGCATATATCATTAAGGGAAGCTGAGTTCCTCAAAAAAGGGAAAAAGATTGTTGCCTAGACTTGTTCTTACTTTTAATTCCTCTGTTTTCTTTTTTATTTAGTGTTACAAAGAGATTTTATTAACGTAGAAGATCAGAAGTTAATATAGACAAAAAGATAACATTCATTAAAGATTATGCAATTCAGATTTCTTGCTTGCAGTAAATTATGTGTTCATCTCGATTACGAAAGATTTATAACTTAGTTAAGGTTCACGAAACCAAATTCTTTTATCAGTTTCGAGTGTGCGAGCATCATCATCAGTATTATAAATGTTAGTATCTATACTTTTGTTGTGGGTAAATTATAAATTAATGATAAAGTCTAAAGAAAATATACCAAATTTACAAATGCTGGCACACCTCTTGAAAACTAAAACTAAAATAATACACTATAAAAGTCAACTACTTTTGATTGTAACCTGAAAAAAGAGTGATCTAGCCAGGCAGTACCGTTGAAACTTTCTACTTTCAGTATATAAAGGCAACATGTCAAGCATGACCTCCTACTGCTTGCTGCAATGGAAAATTGCCTACCGCAACACTAAACATACAACGAATGCTTTCGTATAATGAGTGCTTCTCCTAGCAGTCTGATTGCGCTGGGGTTGATATGACAGCTCCGTCTTTCTCTGTGGTGATAATACTTTGCCTCCCTCTTCCAGTAAGGTCAAAGAAAGGGTGTGTGTGCAATGCAAAGCTGGATTTGCAACACCCAGGTGATTGTTTGGAAAATAACAGATTCTGAAATTCATGTAAGGATGTTTAGATTGAATTCCAAGTGCATAAGGAGCATAAAATGCTTTCAATTGTCTCGGGAAAGACTCAAATAGTACAAGGCACAAGTTGAAGAAAAAGGGAGCTGAACTGCTTATGCTTCAAAATCAATACAGTTGTCTAGTACCGGATATATTTAACATTGGATTATTCCAAACCTTGACGATACAAACATTCAATGTTCCTTATACACAATAACAGCAAGACTTGCAAACCTTGCTTCTACTATCTCCTCTCTAAAGGCCTGGTATGCTTAGAAGTAGAAGCTGAATTCTTTCCAGCAAACCCACCTGGTCTTACAGCAGAAGCAGCACTGTGTGACAAGAAGCAGGCAGAAGGAACATTGGAAGTTTGCAAATGAACAATTTTAAGTAGTTCATGGACAATGGGGAATAATTACCTGTAACCTTTTTGCACCGCATTTTTTTTCATGGCTGCAATATTTTTCATTTCTTGACTGTTTCAAGTAGAAAGATAATGTCAAAAGAATCCTTCAAGAATCCTTTGGATGAATGAAAGCCTCAAATCATATACATGCATAATGGTCCAAGACAAACATTACCTCTTTAAAAGATCTATCTTTGCTTTCTTCATCAAGTTGCTCTTTGTATTAGAAATATTGAAGCCAGGTCCACTACCTAAAACAAATTATTGAATGTAAAAGAACTTAAATATTCTAATTCTTCAGTATCAATTCGAAAACTGTCAAAATTTCTCGAAACTCCAATAACAAAACCACAGGACTCAATCAAAAGGAATTTACCTCCAAAAAAACTTCTTTTGCTGCCAGGAGGAACCTTTGTGCAGAGCTGAATTTGCCGGCTTTGCTTCCCTATGCAAGTTGAATAATTGGTAAAAATTTTAGACGAACCAATCAAATAAAGATTTGCTAAAAGCTTTATTGTTCATGAATGTAACTGAAGAAGAATGTATGCACACAAAAGAAATCCCTTTTTTCTTTTCGACGTCACTTTATGCAAGAACATGAAATAAACTATACTCCTGAGAAATCCATCTTCCCAAAATGATTGCAGTCAGAGCTAAAAAGAAGACTAAATGATACTACTGATCTTTAGTTACAATCTTTGCTATAAAGAGAAGCAGGGTTAATTGACTTGTCTAAGCAGCATACACCCGAAAAATCATAAGGTCATATACCATCTTCAATTTCATATTTTATAGTGATATAACTGGTTTAAAAATAAAACTATTTTGGTGCTTGGTGAAAAGCTCATGCTACAATATGCCATACAATTTCATCATTACAACTACAGCAACTGGTGGCAATGTAGAATAGAATTCATTTCCTGAAAACAAATTTCTTAATAAGATGATCACTAGAGATGTAATGTCTTCTCAACTTCAGGCTTCAGGAACTCTCGCATGAAGTTCCTGCTCTCATGACTCCAACGTGCATGCGTTTGCTAACAGCCTGAGTCGCTGACTAGTGCACAGATCATAATTTGAAAGCAGATTGCTCAAAAATGTAAGAAATAAATAAATACTCCAAACAGATCATAGTAAACAATGTAACAAACAAATACGAGATCAAGAGGCAAAATGAAATAAAAAGCAAGAATGTTTATATTTTATTCTTTAGAAATAAAGAACATACGTGCATCTTCTTTCTTGTACAGTTGTTTAAGTCGGTCAACAGCTTTGTTCTCGGCCTCATGGACATCTTTCAGCTTTGCCTACAAACGACAAGACATGTATAAATCACATCAATGTTTTTCTTAATACAAAAATAGAAAAATGAAAAAAAAAATTGCATGTAGAAACTGCAGTAAAATTAGAAAATATGCTAAGTTACCTCATACAGTTGTTTCCATCTAAATGCCACTTTCTTCTGCTTCATCCTCTCAATCACAAGATTAACACTCTTAGCTCCAAACTGTTTCTCATAGAATATCTTCCACAATTTATCAGTCACTGGACTAAGATCTCTTCCCTGAAAGATATCATAATGACATAAATAAGATCCTTAAAAGCATAATTGAAATATTTAGTGGGTGTTCGGGGTTGTTTCCAAGCTCTACCTTTACAAGCACCCTAATCCAAACTACCAGTGATGTAGCCAGAGCTAAATTTTTATTCTTCATATGCACAAATTTGTTTCTTTACATTTAAATTAGTGCATGAACTGGGACTTATTTAGAAAATACAGCTCAAAATAAGGGCCGAACATAATATATATATATATATATACATTGATAATATTAATGGTCCATGATCATTTAACTAATAATGCAGGAACGTTTAAACTTGACAAATTCATAAGAGTAGGAAAACTTTCTTTGGGCCAGGAGGGGCAATGGCCTCCCTTGCTCCCCATAGCTCTAATTGCATCTACCTGTTTCGCAAAATAAAACTCTGCTTATAAACACTTGCTTGTTAGGTGTTTAAAACAAACACCTCTGTCCTAACTCTGTGCAATAAAGCACTTTTTCTTTTAAAATGTTCAATTGCTTATTTTTCCTTGTACATTGTCTTTACAATATAAGAATTGCTTTTTTTTAACAAAACACTTTTATTAAAAAAACATAACTACTTATTTTCTAAATCACATCCACTGACTTCAAATTGCTTATTAGCATTATCTAAATGGTGTGATGTACTTTAAGTCCTAGTGTTGCACCTAAACGCATTAAATTGCCAGTAAGCTTTTTTTTTTTTTTTAACCAAAGCCAAACAGCCCCTAAACCACAACAATATATAGCTGAACTTACTTTTGAACTCTTCTCCACGTGCATCAACTGATCTATCGTACAATGGGGCAAGATGTGTTCAAGAAGATGTAAATCTGTCTCACCAACATCTCCAAGGTATCTTACATTATCTATCGCTGTCCTGATACAAAGATCAATTAGTGAAGGAACTTGCTTATCCAACCCACTGATTCTCTCGTATTCCAATTTCATCTTCTCAAGGCGCCCTGAAGAGATATAAAATCAATTCACAGAAAAATATTTATATAGTTTGTGATACAAAAAAGACTGGTAATCATAAGAGTTATATTTTGTTCAATTTAGTATGATTGACGAAAGCCACTGAGAACATACAAAATCCAACCAAGAACAAGAAGTGAATTGGTGAACCATATTTGTCTTTGCAGATACTAATTCTTTACAGGGATTAATCCAGTTTTTTTTTCTTGTTGGTTCATAGAAAAATCATTGCGACTTAATAAGGAAAGCCAATCTTCTATTTTTTTCCATGTTCCTGCAAGTGAAGCTGGATTTCTTCCATTGAAGCACCAATTAAAGGAATTAAGTCAACTGACACCCGCAAGCTCACTTCTTTAATATTCCAAGAAACTGACAATTTTTTTTTACATGCATATATCCGAAAATAAATTATTTTCCGCAGTTTCACAAAAAAAAAAAAAAAAAAATTCTTCAATTTATTTTTGTCTGCAATAAAACAGAATATCAAAAGAACAATAGTTCTTTCTAATACAATCCTCTTATGGAAAAAACAATCATAATTTTATTCTTCCCATTCAATCTTCTATGCAGTCCATATAAATTTAATTAAGTCCGCATTGACGGACAAACTGTTTAGAGTTTTTTCTCACAAAAAAAAAAAGTTCATAACCAGGCGATACAGAATATAAGCAAAGGGAAAAAGCTAATAATTAACCAACAAAAAATTACAGCTGTTTGATACCCAATCGAACACCAAACTGATCAACATACTAGATCTAAAAGAACATGCTTTGAAATTAAACACAGAGGTTAAAGATCGATCGTAGTAGGAAAATTCAGGATCACAATTCAAAAGCAAGAGAGTTTGGAATTGAAGAAATCACCGCTGGGTGGCAGAAGCGAGCGAGGAACCAATGGATTTAGAGAGTATCCACAAAAAAAGCAAAGCGAGTTGATCCTGAGAATGCTCGTAGAAGAAGAGACCAGAGAGAGACGAAGACGATGAGGTCACCTGTGGATTCAGCCGGAGTCCAGACCAGATGATATATGGCTTTGCCCTCTGCGGTCAATTTCTATTTTAATTATTCCTCTTTTTTTTTTTTTACTTTAATTACCACACCGGAAGTTTGTGAATAATGAGTAGGAAATATCCGTCTTTTTTATTAAATTTATAATTAATTAAATATATTTTATAAATATTAATTAGGTTTCTTAAATAATGTGATAGTTAGAATTATACAATCAAATACAAAGATTTTCACAAGTACAAATATTTTGGATATGAATTTTAAATTGATTTATAAAATTAAATTAAATATATATTTTTTTAAAAAAAATTATAGATATGGTAAATTGTTGGTATATTAATGTGATTGAAATCTATAGATTTTTTGCTGGTTATATTTATATGAGATCATTTTAATACAAATAACTTATCTAAACATAAAAGAACATATAAAAATACTTAATAGAATATATAATTACATTATCTATATTTTAAATTTATAAATGTACTTTATACTAAATATTGTATAATACTTTTTAGTAAATTTATACTCATAACTTAAGATTAGTGTATAAAAATCATCCTAAATATTAAGATTTAAGAATGAGAACAATTTATATATATATATAAAAAAAAAAGAACTCTCAAAAGTCAGGAACTAAAATGGTAATTAGGGTAAGGGTAAGGGTAAGTTAGTTCTGCAAATTAGACATGGATGAAAACAGGTAAGTTATCACATACATTCAACTTTCAAGGGTTCTGAGAAAATTGCCCACCATACTACCAGGCTATATAAATTGCAAGAACATCACAATGAAAAACACTGTTGACCAATTTAAAGTTAAAACACAAATGGTGTATGATACTATGTCAATATGCAATTGTAGAGGGTGAAGATTTTAGCCTTTCCATGTTCATAAGTAATTTGAGAGGTCTCCTTGGTTCTCCAAGTCCCAAATAACCAACTTCCCATCTAATCCTGCCATGTTAAGGAAGCAAAAAGGTTATATCACATAAAAATTCCTAAAAGATTTACCGAAATCATGTGTTCCACATGAAGAAAAAGCAAACCAAAGAAATTCAGAAATAGAGTTTGTATGTTTTCCTTTGACTAACCTGATGTGCTAAAGCGCATTATCTTAGGGCTCCCTCCTCCCCTAAGAGGCAAAATACAACTACAGTTCCAGAGAACAATATGTTTGTTATTCAAACTATACGAAAATTTAGTACAGAAAGAGGTAACCAGAATTCTGCAAAAATGTGAAAGTTTTATTTATAAATTTATGTTTTTTTATGTCTGACAAGTGGATAAAAGAGTTAATCAACAAAATATTCTACACTTCTTGGCGGGATCCAAATGTTCCAAACACTCAGCCACCCTTTCCGTG